TTGTGTTCTTTGCAATATAACAAGGACATTTGTAATGCATTATCAATACTACCCTAGTTGCCAAACTGAGATTTTATCTCCACATTTCAAACTTTACATGGCCATTATTGGCCAGTTATTTGTTTGTGTTAGAAGCAACATGAGAATGTATATGAGCCAACACAATAAGACTTGATCCTGCCTCTGCTCATAGTGTCTCATAGAGAACTTACAGAATTCTTGAAGGAAATGATTAAATGAAGCCCCCTCATTGCTTATAGTTTTAACCACATTGTGTTATGAAAAACCAAATCCTCTCTGTGAGCACAATTACCACCATGATATAGCCATACATTTGCATCTTAGGCACGATACCTCCAATGGCTTGCTATTGCACACCAAGACTTTGCTCAAGAAAGTTCCTAAACTATTAACCACCAATAGTATTACGCAAAGATTGAAGCGAGTGAGACAACCACCAATAGATGCTTCTGAACTTGAAAGAATCACATAAGCAATGTACTTCGCTAGAGAAAGTGAAGTCTAATATGAAATAAAAGTTTGTCAAATGTTATTGACCTTTCCATTGTGCATTATACTACTGATGCATTAACATAAATATTCTAAATTTCTAACTTCTTCAAAAACTGATTAATGTTTTGAATGTTGTCTTGGATTTCATATGATAGTTTTGGCAAAGGGAGGCCATAAGCTTGAGGCAACAGCTACAGTACTTGCAAGGATACCACAGGTAATCAAAACTATTGAACCCTAACAACGAAGCAACTACCAAGGCTTAATTTCAAAATTCTTAGAGTCAGGACCTTGCATGAAATTGATTAGTCAGCTTAAAAAACCATACTAAAATTGAAATTGTAGGATCATTAGATTCTAAAAACATTAAAAATAATTTAGAATAATGCAAAGTAAAAAATTCAATTACACAATTTCAAGTCATACAAGCTATAACTCAAGAATTATAAACGTAAAATAGTAAAACAAAAAAATAACTAATAATGATAGCAACAGTAGAATAGGACCAACAGCTAGAGTGACAACCAAAAAGTAAAAGTGGCCAATCATTTTTAAAAATGTATAGGACATATTCAACATATCGAAAATCCACCTAATATGCATGCAGGCAACTGTTGGGAGAAGAACTATCTGGTTTAAGTGTCAAAGATCTACAGAACCTTGAAAACAAGTTAGAGATGAGCTTGAAAGGTGTCCGTATGAAAAAGGCAAGAAACTTTCAAAAAATGGATTGTTGTGCTAAAATTGAAATCAGCTTATCTTTAATGTTGCTTCTTTTTTCATTCTCCTGCAGGACCAAATTCTGACTGATGAAATCAAAGAACTAAACCGCAAGGTTTTTCCACAAAAAATTTTTTACAGTGTGCCTAGATTTCCACTTAAGAGATATTTTGGTTGAATAACACTCATTTGTGTCATCGCAGGGAAATCTCATTCATAAGGAGAATCTAGAACTGTACAAAAAAGTAGACATCATTCGCCAAGAAAATGCTGAACTTCAAAAGAAGGTATCTTCTGGCAAATATGATATACTTCTAAGAATGTATTAACACTAGTGCCACCAGGACACAAGCATAACAGAATTTATGTAGCAATTTGATAAAGTCAAAAATTTTTATCTTACCACATGTAGATACCAATTTTTGCCCTCAGGTGTATGGACAGAAGGATGCAAATGAAGGAAACAGAAGCTCCCACCCAACTTACACTTCCCGCAATGGATATGACATGCAAGCACCTGTTCCTCTCCAGTTAAGTCAGCCACAACCTTATAAGAACGATGCAGCAGCAAAATCAATGAAACTGGGGTAAAGCTTCTCCTCAATACTATTTTTCTTAGATTTAGACAGAGTAAAAAAGAAATTATTTCAATGGAAATCCTGAGAATTTACTTTTTCAAATTGCAACAGGTTACAATTGCATTAGTGAAATGGTTGGGGAATGGTAGACGGATAGTTAGATGCAAAACACTGCCAGTGAGATCTTGCACTTCAGCTACTCTATTAAATATGTTCTGCAAAAAGACAATTAGATATGGTATGAAATGTTTCCTCTGCACACATTTGAGAATTGCTGTAAGAAGAAAAACAAAATAAGAAACTCAGCATAGATTATGCAATAATTGAAAGGAATGTTTTGTCTTGTGATACCCGGATGTTCTACAAACTTCTTTTGTTTAAGAAATTAAATTGTTGCATGAAATTGTGCTACACATTTGTGTTCTCAAACAAAAAAAAAAGTCTCAATTGGTTCTATTTTCTCTCTTCTGGTAAAATAAGCAATCAAATCCTAGTTGGAGGGAAGGAACTGACATTAAGAAACAAAAATTTATGTATAAATAGGCATTCATAGCAGAACAGTCAACAACTGTTTTCTAGAAACAGATAAATAAATAAGAACTTCATAACTTACCACACTTTCAACATCATAAGTGCTTGTTTGGCCTTACTTCCAGAACAACCTCTCTATCTCAGAAGCAGAAGCGAAGAGAAGCGAAACACAGCTGAATCTAAAAGGTGCTCCTGGCTTATTTAGAATCTTATTTCAGCTTCTAGAGAATTAGAAGTTAAAGCTAAAAAATTGTAGCTTCTGATGTGAATTTTTGCAACTAAACTCTGACCTCGGTAATTTTATCAATTTTTAAAATTATTAATAATTATTTTATAATTTTATAGTTTAGCACTTCCAGTTCCAGAAAAGCTCCACTCAAACAGCACTTTTTTTTAAAGATAAGTAGCTTATCCATGCAGTAAAAATATTCCTAAGCATAGCACCTCTTGAGTATAATCACCATTCAGACAGGGAACTTTTACTAGCAACTATTTTCTTCCTTTCGTTTTTTGGGGAATGAAGATTTTTGTAAAACAGCCATCAAAAAAAAAAAAAACATTTTTGTAGAACAATATTATAAATGATACGACTAAAATGCATAACCGTTCACCAGCCATACAAGTCTGAACACACAAGCAACTTAGAAAATATCAAAACTAATCAGTACTTCTGGATTCCACTCTGAACCAGAAGAATAGCCCATGGAAGCAGGGATTGGGGGAAGGGGACCTTACAGCCCAGACAAAGTCTATAAGCTTAAGGAGGTAAGACAATCTGGAAAAGTGTAGATGTCCAAGAAAGCTATAACATGTGCACTTAATTTCAAATTATTAGCAGATGTAATTCCCAATTGGTCAAGTCTGGCAAAAAACATGATAAATGTTTGACGTGAGACGGATGAATCCTTTGGTCGATTACATAAAGAGGACATACCTCAAGAACTAGCAACTTTAAATGTCAAAAGTGCAATTAAGAGGGCGGCCGTAACATGCAGCCAACAAACTTGGAAGTCAGGTAAGTACTCTTTTACTGCTATCTCTTTCACTAATATTATTCTTGACTCTGATCAAAAGAACCTCCTGACACACATGCAGGTAAAAAGGTGAGGCCATATATATTCAAAAACTAAGAAAGTCAGGTGAATACTCATTTAGAGCTTTCTTTTTCACTAATCTTACAAATCTCATAACACACACCAACCCTCAGATTCCAAAAAAAAAAAAACTTAAGACTTGTGTAATTGTCCTTGTTGCAACTTTATGTCTCAGGATGGATTAAATAGGTCATGAAAAGATGTTATAATGCACGCATCAGTCACAAGAGAATCAACTGCCAAACAAAGGTAAGGTAGTAGCTTCAAGATATTTACCTCAAAATTATGAGTCTGGATAATTATATTGCTTCATAAACCACAATTACAATACAAGGTAACCAGTAGCTGGATTCCTGCCTGTTACAACTTTAGTGTCTCATGATGCAATAACCATGTTGTGAAAAGATCTTATAATGCACATGTTAATTACAGGAGAATAAAAATTGCTACCAAAAGGTAAGAAAGAAATTTCAGGAATAGTAAGTGATTATTTACCTTAAATTTACGTGGATATTATATTGCTTGATAGATGCTTCATTTTAACCACAAATTACCATCTGTTTTTTATGTCAATTTCCTAGAGATAACTCTTTAAAAGGAACTTAAATCGTACAACTAAGATGTTTTCCAGATTCATGCCAAAAGATTAATGATTAAACATAATCTTTAAATTCATCAAATAGATTTGTTAAAGAAGACCAAGAAACAATGAAAACCACTACTAAGGGACATTAAATAGAGTCTTCTGAAGCTAAATGAAAGAAGCAAGGAATACAAATAATTCTAGACCACTCTCAGGAATACTTAGATGCAGAAATGCACAAGCACATTTCCAGCAAACAAACTGTTCATAGTTACAAATGAGGTTATTTACTAGAATGCAGTTGAGTTTAGGAGATGTGTGTCCTGGCTGAATAATTTGTGTAGTTGACTAATCTAGCAAGGTAGAAGCTTTCGTCACACATCAAAGGTTCTAGTTAGCTAGACTTGCACAACCCACGTAGGTTTTAAACTTAAAAGCTATAACTTAAAAAAAACAAGAGCCAGTGAGCGTATATTAATACTAAAAATATAGACAAGCATGGATAAAGAAATTAGTCCAAAAAAGTAGGAAACTAGCACATAATGGAATTATGAGGAGGTTGCAACTTGTTTACAAACAACCAACTGCCAGGGGTTATAATCTAAGGAGATAGGGAATATAAGTTAAACATGGGTATATTGATACAGAGGAAACAAGATAACATAAGAAATTATTAATTGAGGAAGGGATGTGGGATGAAATTGTACATTTTAAAGAAAGCAGCTGATAAAATTATTGCGATAAAATTTGTTTTAGAAGAGGAGTATATTAGAATCATTGGTAATTACGAGAGCATGATTTGAGCACAACAGTGCTCTAATCCATTCAAAAAAATCAGCAATCACAACACATGGAAAAAATACAAACTCTCTTCCATTCCATCAATGAATGACAATCCCGAAGCAAGGTCAACATGGATGTCTGTGTTATCCCACCTTTCACTACTTGCAAAATAAGAGCTCCTCCAAGGGAGTTCAATTTCCAATTTCCAATGTCATAATGCCCCATGGA